TTAAACCACAAGGTCTTGACCCAAATTTTGAAAGCGTGACTCATTGTTTACAGTGATAAGTATTACAGAAATAAGGATAGCCTTAGTTTTCATGTCACTCCAAATTTAAAAAAAAAAATTCACTTATTTTCCCAATAATTAAAGGGAATATAATAGAAATATTAAATTGTGATATTTCACCGACCTTGGACGGAAATATATCTCTTTTTATATTTAAGTTGCAATTTTCCGTCTGCCGCCATTAGTGGACGGAAATTTTTGTCTATAATTATACTTTGTTGTGAGTGTGATTATTTTTACTAGACATCAAAATAAAATGGAAATTACCGTCAATATTATATAGTCAGATCGGAAATGATTGATGAGGAAAACATGATTTTAGTAACAATTAACTTCAACTATACGACATGAATATTTTGCTTAATATTTATATACGTATTTATTATTATTATTTTTTACCATCGTAGTATACTTGTGCGGACTATTATAATGTAGTTGCGTAAATGTTTTACCAAAAAGTGTACGTGGGCACGCTCCACACAGTTACGTGGACCACGGTCTGAAATAACGTCGCTGAATATTATGAGTAAAAATAATGTACATTATGTGTTAGAATAATGTACATTACGTGTCAAAATATGAAACTTATGGAATAATATAATGTACATTATATGTTTTAGAATAATGTACATTATGTTTTGGAATAATGTATATTATGTTTTAAAATAATATACATTATGAATTATAAAAATGCTTATTACATCCGGTCGCGCGAAAAAATACATCAAATGACGTCGTTTTTGGACTGTGATTCACACAGCTCACGGTCCATGCAATAACTATTGGTGTCCACGTGTGGTGGTTGCATTTTCTTTCGCAAACAAAGAAAAAATTTCTGCAGTATTTTGAGCATTATCTCTAATTAAACTCCATTTTTGTTCACTTTTTGGGACTCTCATGAGTTTTCAAAGTATTAGATTGATTCCCATATGCCATTCCGGCCAAGTGTTGAAAACCATAACAAACCCACCTCCATTAGTAATTGAAAATGTTGAATATGATTCAAATGACTACTATTTTTGTCACATATTCTATTTTTGGTTAAAGAGAGAGAGAAAAAATAAATTATCTTATTAATATCAATTATGTCAAGTAATGTTACATTTAATAAGATATTAATGTTCGATTGACCTTGTCTACTGAGCCACTGAATCACCGTAGTTTACATAATCTCAAATGCTTTGTTGGCTGGGGTGTGGCCGCCTTGGGATTGATGATTCAACTTTTTGGGAGAAAAAGTAATATATGCTACATTTCTTACTAACCTGACGTGTTAATTGATGTAGAAAAACAACATTACAATGAGGTTTTTTTCTTCAATAAAACCAAAATATGCTCTTTGGTCCTTTTTTTTTTTTTTTAGTGACATGGAAAATTCACAACCATTACTCAAAAGTGTACATTGAGTAATTAAGCCCCGCTTTATGACCTAGTCAGTCGAGTAATAATATTTGATTATTATATGTTACAATAGTTTATTAGTTCATTTTATATAAGAAAGTGCTTCACACTCCTGCAATTACTACTCCTTAATTTAAAATATGTAATAATAAGATGAGTAATTGCAAGGGTCTCGAGCCATTATCCAAGAGTTGAGAATTGAACTCGAAAAGATATTATATGGCAGGTTAAACTGAGAGGGTGTTGACAATCATTGAACTTATATGACATTTTAGTACAAGAATCATACTTTACTTAGTCACTCATTTCGGAAGTAAATTCTTCTATAAGTACTGGGTTGAGTTAATCAATTTATGATAATTAATGAATATAAAATGAAAAAAAAAATGTATTATCATATTATGAGATAAATTAGCATTATTCATTTTTCAATCATGCGTGTAACAGCCTATACCCTTACACCAACTCAGCCTATTCCATATGTTTTTGCGTTTTTGGCAATTGGCCGTTGAAAGTGTTTATTATTTACTCCAAATACTATACCGTTATAGTTTTTTTTTTTTTTTTTTTTGAATGCTACTGGCTCTATTACAATGTAGTATGTGTTCATATACTTTCTCAACCTACTGAAACCTAAAGAATCAATAACGCCTCCACTGAGGCTTGCACTCATAACTTTCTAAATGGAATTTCAACTCAGGTACCATTAGACCACATACTATACCATTATAGTTTTTTTTTTTTTTTTTTTTTGAAGGTATACCATTATAGTTAAAGTACTTATTACTATAATATTCCACGGGGTGAGTTACATACTAAAATATTCAATTAAATTTTAACTCTACTTTTTATTGAAAACGATTGGCTTTATACTTTATTTCTTCTCAATTTTTTTTTTTTAAATATTACTATCTTACATTGGCTTATATATGTACCATACATATAATTAAAAAATGATTAATTTTTTTTCAATTTGAAAATGTCAATGAGATGTCAAGTTTAAATTATAATAATATCATTTAAAAATAAAATTAAAGGAAAAAAAAACTAAATGGTCAGTATATGTTAAATTAATCATTTTTATGGAATAGTTTTTAATGGGGAATTGAAACACATATTTTTTAGAAAAGAATTTTATTGATCATGTTATGAAATTGTATGCAAATTTAAGCCTGAATTTGTTGGTTTTTTTTTTTTTTTTTTTTTTTCATTTCAAGAAAAAAAAAAAGAGAAAAAAACTTTACTAATATTTAAAATTTTGATGGTAAATTACCAACTTTGAAATGTTTGGTTAAAATTATCGCATACAAAAGAATTTAATATTTTCCATAAATAAACCTTGTTTATAAAGATTTTCTATAATGTTTAACATACCAAAAAATATTGTAAAGTTTTCTAAAATAATAATAATAATAATACTACCATCTTACATTTCCTTATAAAAAAAAACCTAAAAAGTGTTATTTTTTTAAAGTTGTCGTTTTATATATTGGAAAAGAACAAACTAAGTTTATAGTTAATTTAACTTTTAGTTATACAAATACAATGATTCTTTTATTTTATTTTTGCATATGACAAATGATATCTCTATTACTGCGAAACTAATTTGAATTGGTCTTGAATTACGATCACAAATTATGACTCTGACTCAAAAAAAAAAATGAGATTTAAACTCTTTTACATGGTAAAACTGCAAAAGTATGATAAAATCCTTTGAGGAAATATAATCATAATTTTTTACTTTTAATTTTCAAATATCACTCTGGCCATGATTAAATTTAGTTCAATTTTAAAAATAAACTTGAATGTCATTAAAAATTCAAATAAATTAAGTATGATAAAATTGATATTTGGATATTCAAAGTAACTCATGTTGAGCTTGATGTAACTCATATTGGAATACTCATACTCGTCCCTTGAAAGATCCAGTCTGTCACACTTATCTAGAGATTAGAGACGTTATTGCATTGAAAGATTCTTGAGTGATATGCATAATGAACAACTGTGTCCACGATATACATTGTATAAATGACTTGCGAAAGGTAATAGAGGGATAAAACGCACAACATAGAACTAAAAGGCAAAAATCTTACTTTTACTTCATGAAATTATTCACTTTTTCATTTTATCAAGGAAACAGAAAAAGGAATACAAAAACATAATTAAAATATACATTATATATTCTCGCAACGTAAGTGTGGGCCGAATCCTTAATATAATGGATGTTTTGTAAAATAGTTAGTCTATAAGTCAAATTTGATTTATTTGACCACTATTAACTTTTTAATTTGGTTAAAAAAATTAATATAAGTGTTTGATTAATTAGCTTTTTGCAACTCTAAGATGTTAAAATTTAAAAAGCTGCTCAAAGCAACCTTTTCATTTAGCTTTTTGAGAAAGAAAATTATACCAAATAGCTAACATCTAATTTACCAAACACCTTTCTACAACTAATGTTATCAACTAGTTACACCCTCTAATTCACTTAATTCTTCCAAAAGGCTGAACCCCAATCCTAAGGGCCCCACACACCCCGACCCAACAAAGTATTTGAAAGATGTAAATCATGGTAACTCAATTAACTAACAGTCATTTTCCAAACAGGACCAACGTCATTTTAGCGTGATTTAACTTTTTATCAATGATTCAAATTTTCACTTAAGGGTCCGTTTGGAAAGCAGGAAAATGACTTCTGAAAAATGTTTTCTGGAAAATGAATTATTTTCCGAAAAACATTTTCCTTTCTCGTGTTTGGCTGCAAAGCGGAAAACTGTCTTTAGTGTGTTTGGTTCATTTTCTAGAAAATGAGATAGAATTATATAGTTTATATAATTAAGTATTTTGTTTAAAATATAAAAATATTTATATTTTTGAAATCAAATAATATACATAAATAAAGTTATTAAAAATTAAAAAAATTAAATTAAAAAAAAAAAAGAAGAAGAAAGAGACGTCGGAAACCAGAGAGTAGTACTCTCTGGTTTCCGACCGTGTTCTCTGGTTTCCGGCCGAAACCAGAGAGCACTGCTCTCTGGTTTTTGGCCGGAGATATCCGACCGGTGTTCGCCGGAAAACGTACGGTCACAAATCCGAGAACCAAATCTCATGAGGAGAGAACAGTGCACAATAGGTGTTGGTGAAGTTGTGGAAATTTTTTGACCAGAAGATGAGAGAACAAAGAATGGAAAATGACTTCCCCCCAAAAAAAGGGGAAATCATTTTCCGGAAAAGAGGCTTCATTTTCCATTGACTATGTGGCATTTTCCTTTGACTTCCATTTTTCTTGCACAGCCAAACACCAAAAATTCGGAAAATGATTTCCAGAAATCATTTTCCGGGTTTCCAAACACACCCTAAAAAAAGAGGACAAGAAAAAAAAATTGCATATGAAAAAACGATGACATTTGTTAAGAGGGAAAATCAATTTTACGGTAATCTCCCTACCCCACTGGCCCACTCAGGCCCTCACCCCTCACGCTTTGATTATAATAATTAAAACGCTATATAAGTGAGTCGAGTCCAGAGTGAGTCTCATGCCAGTGCGGCAAATGCCTTCTCGTCTTCTCTTCTCAATTTGGTAAACCACTTTGGTTTTGCCCAAACAAAAAAGGAAGCCAAGAAGAAGAATCAGAAAGATCAAACAAGAATTTGGAGAAAAAAGAAGCAAAAATCTCTTTCTTGATTCTCTAAATTCTTCACTACCCAACTCCCTCTCCCTCTTCCATCTCCCAATCCTACAAACAGACAGACAGACAGACTCACAGAGAAACATTAAATTCTGGGCTGCTGCCATTTTTGTTCTGACAAGAGAAAAGTATAAGAAAAAAAGAATTTTTTTTTTTTTTGTTTTCGATTTTTGAGTTGGAAATGAAGAGGTCGGCTCCTTCTTCTTCTTCTCCGTCTTCCTCTTCGTCGTCTTCTTCCTCTTGCATTCAGTTGCCGCCGGCCGGCCAGCCGGTGGCCAGCCCGGAGCCCCGACCGGCGAAGCGTTCCAGAGCGAAGAGAACTGCCAATGCCGATTCAACTCCGGCCAGAAGAAGCTCTGCTTACAGAGGTGTCACAAGGTAGGTGCAGAATTTCGGAAAAAAAAAAAAAAAAAAAGAAGAAAAAAGCCAAATTTTCTCTCTCACACACTCCTGCACGCAGCAGAGGTGTGAGAAACAAACAAAGATCGGAAATTTATGTTGTTCGGTTGCTTTTGAGTGCATGCATGACAATTGGCTATTCGGAAATTTATTTTCATTTTTTAAAACTTTCATTGAATTTCTCAGGCACAGGTGGACCGGGAGATATGAAGCTCACCTATGGGACAAGACTACCTGGAATAACATTCAGAACAAGAAAGGAAGACAAAGTGATTATATTTCTCCTTTTTTTTTTTTTAAATGTCAGTTTTTATTTGGGAATTATATACAAAAAAATGTTCGAAAACCGAGGAGATCTGCAGGTTTAGTTTATTACTATAGTTAATCTCAATTATAGTTAATTAACATATTCTACCCATCATTTAATCCTTTTTTTCTGACCATTTTTCCCTTTTCATGTTCTGCTGATGATGTTCCCTGTCATTTGCAACGTTAACTAATGCTTTTGTCGTGCCTTAGTTTACTTGGGTAAGCATTACTTATTAGTTTCATTAATCTTGTTCTTCCCCTTAAATTTAATTTATCAATTCCGACTCCAATGTTGTCACGTCGCAAGGTTTTTGGACATACATTTTGTGGGTTTAAGATTAGTCTCTAAATCTAATGTACCAAAAAAGAAATAATTTTGTTATATATAACATCTTTTTTTTTTTCTTGATATATATAGAAAATAAATTTAATGTCATTTTCAATGTGTATTGGGTACAGGGGCATATGAAAGTGAGGAGGCCGCTGCCAGAACGTATGATCTTGCTGCTCTTAAGTACTGGGGGGCCTCTGCTACACTTAACTTTCCGGTAATTTAATTCTCGTGTACTTTGGTTAGCTTTAATTTGTTTTTATTTCATTTTTTTAAATATTTTTTGTGCAGAATTAAATTTCTTGTCGGATTTGGCCAATGTTGTTGAAATTTGTATGATATGATATGATAGCATGTTTAAGATGAAGAAATTATATATGGGTTTGAAATGATATATATAGGGGGTGTTTTGTAAATGGTTGATCAGTCATTTTTAACGTTTTGACCGAGTCATAATGTGCACAGGTTGAGACATATGACAAAGAGATAGAGGAAATGCAACCGTTGTCTAAGGAGGAGTATCTTGCTTCGCTGCGGAGGCAGAGCAGTGGCTTTTCTCGAGGCGTTTCTAAGTATCGTGGTGTGGCGAGGTAAAACAGAAAAATTCTCGTGAATTTACTTTTATATTGAATGTATGTATATGTGGAAGTCATAACATATAGTCCATGTTTAAGCTTTCTAAACAGTTTAAAGTTGTTGGGAAAAAAAAATGTGATTTTGGAGTCAAACGGGGTTGAAGAAACATGTTTTTAAATTTTTATCATAGTATGCTTTTGGCATTTTCATGATTTCTATGGTTGTTGTTAAGTTATAGTGGTGAAGGTGGAGGGACCATGTAGGCCTTATTTAGTACACAAGTGGAGTGTTCATTTGTGTTTACTTATGTACCGAAAATGTGTTTTTTTTTTTTGGGTTGACAATCATGTTTCCCACCCTCAAATTGACCATTTCAAGTGTGGATTGCATGGCTCATTTCTCCATCGATTGCTAAACCATCTTTTGCTCTTGTTGCTCCTCGACTTTGACAGGCACCACCATAATGGTCGATGGGAAGCCCGAATTGGACGAGTCCTTGGGACTAAGTATCTCTACTTGGGAACTTTCAGTAGGTCCACTTTTCATACATACATATTATTATTATTAACTCCATTTTCGTTCAAGAATAGTGTGCCTCGTTGTATAGTCAATTCAGAACTAATGGTGATTATTCTGTGGATTAAAGTGGAAAATGCGATATACATAACAGACATGATTCAAGCTCAGATCCCTGCGAGGGATCCAATCGTTATATAATAACCAAAAATGATTTCTTTAGGTGTACTATAAAAATATTATGGCAGCCCAGACACTCAGACAGAGATATACTAACAGTATAGTTTTAGTTTATTTATTTTTCACCTCTAACCATATTCAATAGATTAGTACTCCCTAAAGCTGACATGAAGCATGTGATTCATACACACTACTTTTTAAAAGAGAGTATATTTTATATACATAGAGTGCTTGCATGGACATGATTGTTAGAATTTAATATCCCAAATCAGATCTTTGCGGCTTGTACGAAAGGTAACTTTCAGTTCAACTATATAAAACTATTTCTTCCTTTAGTTGGTACCCTAACCCTCGGTTTCCTTGTTCGGGTTTGACCATAGTTATTTCTTAATTAATTGCATTCTGTGTTAAGCAAGCTAAGCTACCTATTTGTCTCCTTTTGACCAACGTGCCTCGTCTCTATCTAGTTTTTTATTGCAATGTAGCCCGGGATTTGGTTTCTGGTTCCATTGGATCGAGAGATTCACTTGCTAATAATACTTCATTTATGTATTTTCTTTCTTTGTTTTCCATAAAGAATGAGTAGTGAAATTAAACTGTCTTTGTTGAGCATATAGTCATTAATGTGCAATCCAACTATCAGCTTAGCCTTTTAGTTGAGATGGAGCACATACTTCCATAAGTGTTTGTCGGGATTTTGAGGATTAAACGAAACTCATCTGCATTTATATCTGATGTGATAAAGGCACACAAGAGGAAGCTGCAGAAGCATATGATATGGCGGCAATTGAGTACCGAGGGCCTAATGCAGTCACGAATTTCGACGTTAGCCGTTATGCAGACGTGCTGAACAAAATCCGGGAGCGAGAGCAGCTGCAGCAGATGGCTGGTAATCCCGAGTCGTCAGTGGAGGTTCAGTCGGGCGAGCAATCCGATCAGGATCAAGAAAACGCGGGAGAGAAACAGGAGGGGGCGGAAGAGGTGAACAATGAAGAGCACCCGTGGAAGCCCGAATTCCCAAAGATGGAAGAAGAAGTAGTAGGGGTGCTGGAGCCACGGGTTCCGGAAATGGAGTTTGCCCCTCCCCCGCCACCCGTCGAGGCCTCGTCTGCTGCAATGCTGATGATGGACCCCGCAGCTGAGGAGCACGATAGTGCCTGGAACGTGTTCTTGGACCCCGGGTTCGAGCAGTTCTTGAACACTTCTGATGACCTCTTCAGCATCTTCAACTCCCCCTTCGACGATGATATTGACTCCATCTTCGGGGAGCAGCTCATCGAGAAGGAGTTCGTTCAGGCTGGCATTCTCAGCAGCGTCAATGAATTCCCGGCTACTTGAGACAACTCGTGTTTGTTTGTAGTTAAACAGAAACAGTGAGTAGAAGCTTAGTGGCAGCAAAACTGCCTTTCTAGTTTTAGATATCTATCCATAGAAAGACATGTTTTCTGTTCTGTTTTTTTTTTTTTTTTCATAAACTTGTGTAGTTCAGTTTTTCATTAGCAACCTAAGCTGATTCTGAGCATCAAATTTTGCTCTCAAGAAATTTTTGTTTTGGTTGGCTGACATTATCAAACTAATCCCAGAAAACTTTCTACCAACAACTTATATATGCACAATTCTAGCACCTAGGTTGCACTGGGTTTGGATATGGAGCATCCTTAAATTTTCAGGTCAGCTGTTCCACCCAAAAGAGGTGCCTACAATTCAACGAACGGGTTAGTCACTGTCTCTGTCTCTGACGGTGGAACCCTGAGTACACCCAAAAAAAAAAAAAAAAAAAAAAAAAAAAACGCCTTTATTTGTAAATATTTTTTTCTTTATGTCCAATATTTTGTAAGATAATACAAAAATGTTAATTGTCATAAATAAATGTCAAATGAGTCTTTGATTTGGAAAAAAAACACAATTCAAAAAATTGGAAATAAATTTAAATATGCACGTCAGCTTCAAAAATAAATGTGACTGAACTATTTTTTGACTAATTTTTACTTGTAGACTTCAAATTGATGATGTGCTTGCCGGTTATTATTATAATTATTAATTTTGCTACTATAGTAGCCTTCGCATAGGTCTTTTGTCCATATCTAGATGAAGTTAGGCGTAAAAATGACGGTGAGAGGTGGTGGCAAGTTATATATATTCTGGGGAAAGAAGTTGTATATTATAGAGTTAATTTATTTTTTTGTCTTAGTAATTTACATTTAATCTTTTTCTTTTTAAAAAAAGTATATCTCATTTGATTCTTGAATTATTGTAGCATAATCATTTTTGATCCCATAAACAAAACAATTTAAATTCTATAAAATACAAAGACACTAGGGTCAACTCACTTTGTACAAAAAAGATCAAAATGTCCTTGTATTTAATGAAAATTTCAACAATATTGTTAATGGAGGATAGAAAATGATTATACTATACTCACACTAGGACCAAATGAAAATATTCTGAAAAAAAAAAGACTAAAAGTGTAGTGTCACATATAAATCTAGAACAAAATTTTTGAATATTAAAAAGATATGGAATATTCTATTTTAGGATCATGCAAGATTGCAAGTCATCAAGAAATCGTTAAAAAAAAAGCCTATTTTGTGTCTGGTTTATAAGGCAGACTTCTATACACCTACAGTAGCATCTTTCTATGAGAGGATAACTTGATTCAAGGTGTGATGTTTATGGTCATACATAAGACACCAACTAATTTTTAGGATAAAACATCAAACCATAGAGTGCAAAGTAACAAATTCAATGGTGCAAACACATTTAAAAGGGGTCCCCATTACAATAATAAAACTCACAGCCAAATTAATATCTATCACAACTGTTTTGGGTCCTTAAATTTCACAAGATCCATAGCTAGCCTTCAAAAATGCGAGCAAAAAAAAAAAAACAAAACAAAATACCACTAGCCCATGTGAACAATGGTAAGGAAGAAGAGCTTAAGTTGGTTTTCTCATGTTACGCCCTGCCCGAATTGCTTCATCCACAAGTAGTAGTTGAGATGCTATTGCAGGGCTGCAAAGTGAAAGATTGAGTTTTTTAGCGGAAATTGCTAGATCAGATAAAGGGAAGTAACCCTTACACTGTAATATTGATGTAAAAAAGGATTATGGAAGATTGCAGTGTAAATGAGCACATATATAGGGGAGAGGGCAGTTAATTTTCCACTTACCCAGAGTTAATAATCTGATGCTTAACAGAATAATTATCAAAGATCCCCTCCATTTGTGGATCTATAGGCTCTCCTGTGTGCAGAGATAGTCCCACAACATTTCCCTTGTCATGCTCACCCTGCAAGAGAATCACAATTATGACCAACAAAATAAGCTTATTATAGGTAATTTAATGATAGAAATGTAATCTATCTTGCTTGTTTCCCATTGAAAAAATCAATCAGTTACCGTCAGGGCAATGATCACATCTTGAGTATCAAGGCCAGAGTTCTCAGCAAGTGTCTTGGGTAACACGAGGAGGGCATTGGCAAAAGCTTCAACACCCAGCTGTGCACGCTGTTCAATGTTTGGTCATAGGGATAAACGAAGACAAATCAGGCAATTAATTGACATTTGACAATTGCAAATGTTTCAATTAAAACTCATAAACAGACACGATAAACACATGCGTACCCCTTGAACAGTTTTCTTCACTTCGTTGATCAAGTACTGTCTAGCAGCCACTTCAAATGCACCAGCACCCTGAGCAAGGAAACACAAAAAAGTCCCAATCAGAAGCTCAACTCTAAGGACACTATTTATGCATATATGACCCTTGGATTAGTTGGCTAAGATGAAGCCAAGAGTAAAACTTTGCAAACCACACATAAAATATTAAAACAAATTGATGCAATCAGGAATACAGAATGAATAGGTATTTCATCATGTAAAATACAGATCTCAATTTATTTTGAATTAAAGGATAGTAGTTCATATAGCAAATTCAAATATTCTTTCCAACTCAACAAGTCATTTCCCAAAAAAGTAAGAAATAGAATACAGTATATAGTGACAACTCTCAAACACACACAAGGGAGAAACATCAACTATCCAATACATAGGGTCCAAAAGGACAAGAAAAACCATGCATTTAGGGAATGCAAACTAAGGTTACATAACACACACTATGTCAATATCACAATAGTGCTTTTACAAGATAATCTTGCAACTGAAGTCTAAGAACTGATTATTGTGTTCAATTTTTCACAATTAATATTAAAGGCTAATAACAAAACCAATATAAAATTATGCTGGCAATGTTATAACATACCAATACAACAGCTTCATCTTCAATGGTATTTTTGAGTGCTCTTAGTCCATCACGTACAGCATCCTTGATTTGAGCAATGGTATGATCATTGGGTCCTAAATATAAAATGATAATGATTAGGTGATAATCAGTGAAGCCCTTAAGTTTAGCAAGTTAAGAGTACCTTAAACTGAAAAGAACTAGCAAGTTAAGAGTACCTTTAATAAGTATAGTGCAAGAGTTAGGATTTTTCACATTTTCAATAAAGGTGTACTTCTCCTCTCCAAGGACATGCTCATAGACCAGTCCAGCCCAGCCAAGGCAGTCTGGAGTCAGGTAATCAACAGAATCAACTGACTCTCCACCACAAGCTAGGACCAACCGTTGCATATTTCTCCTCTTTGCCCGTCGAAGGGCAATTATCTAAAAGACCAAAATAATATTAACACAATTACTGTAATTGTCTAACAAAAGATCAGAATAAACAAAGTTCAGCTAGCCACTACGACATTCAGGTAGAGCGATATACACTACGCATAGATTTAAGAACTCCAACATCCATAGGATATATTTACACGTTACACAACAGCCAAAGGCAACACTAAGTAATAAAGAGAACTTACTCCTTCCCGAGCAAGAAGGTCCAGTGATGGAGGATCAATCCCTTTTTGATTGATGACAACAAAGTTGCTATCATTACCTGAGCACACCTGCAGGTAACCATAAATGCAAGACATGAGTATTAAATTGGTATAGAACTAAAATTGTGTGAACAAGTGATGATACTCATATTAGTACCTTTCTCTTTAGGTCAATTATCTTTTGTACTCTTTCATCAACAGATCGTCTTTCTGCAGCAACCATTGCTTCTCTCTGTTCCGCACTTGAGTAGAAAAACCCTGCATTTATTTCACTTAAAAAAAAAAAAAAACAAAGGCATGAGCACAAACTTCAGAACATTGGCAATATTCAAATCAAACAAAACTATAGAATCAGAGATTACCTCTTCTCATATTCCAAGGAAACATTACATGTCAAAATGTAACAATTCTCTGCTCGCCTCTTCATGTCTGGGTGTCTAGAACCATGATCAAGTACAAGGCCCTCCACCTATTAACATCAAAACTATAATGAGGAACAGCAACTTGGTAAATGTGTAGTTTTTTCACTCTCATATTATGTAACTGCAAAGGAAGAAATAATCATTGGCTCCAAAGTAATGTGCATGGAAACTATTTGATTCTTGAATTGATAATTAAAAAAACAAGGGCAAAATCTCACATCAGAAGATATTATCAAGCAGATAAAAATAAAGTTCATCTACAGATAAAAGGTTCATCTCAGGAAAAACTTGAAGTCTTAAAGATATTAAGAAACCCTTGTACACAATACTGAAAATATAAACAGTGTATCTGTGGCATTGTGCATACCAGGCGAGTGTCCACATCAAACTTGTGGCGCATATGCATAATCTCAACCATGAAAAGATCAATAGATTCTTCAGGCTTGCGAATGCAGAGAACCTGTTGTATGAAATATAAAACATAAAGGTTGAGATCAAGAAAACAATACTAAATTACTGATTCATGTCAATTGTAAGAAAGCCACAGAATACTATAAATGTTTGCCAGCGGCTAAGGACAAGGACAATCATCAGTTGGCAAAGCTAAATAAATAAATAAATCTATGCACCTAGGAAACAAGAAAAATTATGTTGTGTTTATTGTTATTGTTATAAAAATCAACATTGATTTGTTCCTTCGACAACAAAAAACAATAACAGTTACCAAAAAAAAATAACATAAACTAATTAATATTAAAATATTAGGAAATATATGAGCACTCACAGCATTGGTGACAATGTCTGTAAGTTGATCTGCCAGTGCTTCATACAGCTGCATCAACCAGAAAAGTTAAGAGAAAATACCAAGATAAGAAGTAGCAGTGAAAGACTCTAAATAGCGATATCATAATTGAGGAGACCTTGGTTCTTAGAGTTGTTCTAGCCACCATTCTCAATATCTCTTTATCTGGCTCATCGCCCATCACTACAGGTGTCTTAAATCTCTCAAGAAATTGCAGTGTTGCTCTTTTTGCAATTTCAAAACCATCATTTAGTACATGAGGATGCATGCCTGCAGGAAAAGTGAAAGGAAGTCATGCCAGACTATTCAAACACGTTTGAATTTCACAACATGATTTGGAAACTTAACAAACCTTCATCTATGTAACGCTCAGATTGTTTCATAAGTTCACCAATAAAAAGCACAGTTGATGTAGTACCATCCCCTCTAGCATCATCTTGTGCAACTGCAGTCCGCGCAATCATTATAGCAGTTGGGTTTTGAATTTGCTGCAATTATCAAGCATAATATAATCAGTCACAAGATAGGAACATATTCTTCACTAGTAATTTTAGAAAAAAAATTAATTTTATCTTACTGTTCTTATTAGATATGCCTCATCACAACAAATTATAGAAGTAAATGAAACTATTCTAGTTCTAGGTAGTAAAATAGTCATATCCTGTCATGCTCACCTGATGCATCAGCTTATATTTTCTGCAAAACTACAAGCCTACTCAAATATCTTTACTACGGTATTATCTGTAACTTATAATTTTCAAATAAAGGTGAACAAAGAAGGGGATCCAACATTAACAATATACTAAAATTATAAAGTTAAGGTTATAATAGGGTTCTAAATTCCAAAACCAAAGCCTTCCCTGCAGAGACCCATGAACTGAATTTACTTCAATTCTGCAGTTTTTCCATTGTCCATTTTCCAATGTAGTCTATGTTTTCCTTTCTCCAATGTAGGAAATACATCATGAACTGACCTGATGTCTTAACTACACAAATGCTTAGTGCACTTATGGAAAAACATTCACAGAGCTTAGGAAGGGAACAATGAGGAACGAAACTCACCATTTCTTTCAACAGAGTGTTGCCATCCTTCGTGAGTTTAATATCACCGGCTCCTCCAACAAGCCTAGAAAATAAGATCAACGAATTCCGGCGTCAAAATCGAATCAAAATGAAATGAAATTGATACACACACACACACACACGATACTTGAAGAGAAACAGGTTAAACTAACTAACATCTTAAGTGTGCCCTTAGGTCCAAGGTTAGTCTTGAGAACGTCTTGCAAACCCTTGGCAGCATTGATGTTCATGTGAAGCGCCGCCGACTTGTTGAGCACCTCAGCGTTCGGATTCAGCACCCTTAGAGACATCTTGGCTTATGCAACCAGCGTGATCCTAGCTAGGGTTATACCGACGACCGAAGATTTACAGCCAAGAGTCCAGTACAGGCAGGCTCTAAACGTATAGACGGAGTGGAAGAGAGTGGCCGGGGAAGCAAGCGGGAGAAAGGAAAGGGCTTTTGGGCTGAGAGTGAAAGGAAACTAGGTTTAGGAGTTGGGACTTTCTGGAAGAGTAGACGACAATTGGGTACTGAGATTTTAAAATATCTTTTATTTTTTTGGAATAAAATTCAAATTGGTCACTAAGAAAATGTAATTAGATCACTAAACAAAAAAAAAATGTAATTAGGTCACTGAATAATTTTATCGTAGCAGGTTAGTATCAATTTTAACATATTATTTACTTATGTGGCAACTGAGTTGACATTTTTAATAAATTTTAATAATAAATTAAAAAATAATAATAATAATAAAACGACGGGGTAGCTGGTAGCCACCCCCTTCCCCTCCTTCGTCTCCGCCGAAGACGAAGGAACGAAGGAATAGTGGGGTGGGGGAAGGGGGTGGGCCACCCCGTGGTTTTTTAATTTTTTTAGTTATTATTAAAATTTATTTAAAAAATGTTTTAAAATGTCAACTCAATTGTCACGTAAGCAGCTAACATGTTAAAATTGATGGTAACTTACTATCAAGTAAAATTACATATATTTAGAGTGTTCAGTGGTATAATTGTATTTTTTTTCGTTTAGTGACCTAATTGCATTTTCAGGTTACATTCAGTGGTCAATTTGAACCTTATTCTTAATTTTTTTTTTTTGTACGGGTGTCCGCAATATGGATACAGAATTGAAAGGGAAGATAAAATGTATACTACTCCGTAGTAAAGTATAAAATTTCACAACACACAATACAAAAAAAATTTAATTATCAAAATGGTCATTCGACTATAGCAAAATTATTGATTTGGTCCTTAACAATTATTTTTACTTAATTAAGTCCTCAATTATAAAAGTTCTACCCAATTTAATCTTCTGATTGATCAGTCGTTAAATTTCTTGTAATTCAAGGATAGTGATGAAATTTCACTACCTGGGTTTCCACATTTTTTATATGTGAGTTCTTTTTTTTTTTTTTTTTTGGGAAAGAAATATAGAGAATTCTAATCCCAATTGTTCCAGGAAGGCACGAATAATATTTAATTATGTTTTTTAGCCCCCTCCGAATTTTTAAACTGTAGATTCATAATTTTTATATCGTAGATTCATAATTTAAATACATTAAATTTATAATTTAAATACAGTAAATTCAGAATTTCTATACAGTAGATTCATAATTTCTATACTGCAAATTTATAATATATGTACTGTAGACTCATAAGTACTGTAAATTCATAATTTCTAAACTGTATAATTATCAAATTATGAACATATAGTTCTGTACTTCTGTGATTTGTGAATACAGAATTTAACAATTGGGAATATGAACATAAAAAATTATGAACATATAGCTCTATAATTATGAACATATATTTATAAAATTATGAACATATAGCTCCATCGCATGTTCACAAACATAATACTGTAGATTCTAATTTCTATACTGAAAATTCATAATTTATATATTGTAGATTCATAATTTCTATATTGTAAATTCATAATTTCTAAACTGTGAGATTGCGAAGAGAGAAACGACGTTAACGGCAAGTGAAAAACAAATTATTTAAAAAAAAAAAAAAATAGAACGGTGTTGAAAACTATGCCGTTGTGGAACTGTGCCAAGGTGGGTACGGTTCCACAACATAATTAGACTCTTTTACACGAGTTGTTATACAATGGACCACGATCCACTTTACAAGGTGAACCTTGGTCATAAACGACATTTAAATTGTGTATTTCTAGTATTGGAATTGTGAATTTTTAGAATATAAATTGTGTTTCTAAGTCAAAACACATGAAATTTGTGAATACAATATAGAGTTATCGATGAATGCGGAATGTAAATAAAAATCAAAAGTTCAAGTACAGACAACACCGGGACATACCCTTGAGTACAAGTACAATGAGCAGAACAAGAAGCCAAGACTATTACAATTTAAAGGAGAATTTTAAATTTGTCCTAGTCTAGCCACGTAAAAAGAAACTAACAAATCCAAGTATAGGAATTCCAGCGAGAAGGTTCGAACCCAGGCCACTCTGTCCCAAAGCTCAGCGTACAGACCACTCAAAAACCACACGAACTTGGAACCACTAGCATAGATAAGTAAAGAAGATCATATGTATCAAAGAAACGGGTCAACCCGGTCCACCTGGAGTCAAAATCATGAGAAGTCAAAGACTCCCAAAACGTTGACAAGAGGCAAGGACGCCTACCACCGGAAGAGTCGAACCCGGCCCAAGCAGTCATAAGGCGCGCATCCAAACCGCTCCATCAGCAAACTAACGTGATGAATTCTGCCCAAGAAAAATACAAGGCACAAGAGCACCAATACTCGGGTCATCCCAAAAGGTGCGTGTCGACCCGAGTCTACAGAACAAGAACCACTCAGCGTTGACCGTCTACGTGGTCCATGAACCATGCAACATCAACCCCATACAGATTTGAAATTCAAAAACACCTGGAGAACTAAACAGATGGAGTCCACCGCCCAAAGTTAATGCAAAGATCATGCCAACCTTCGACAAGGTCTCCCAACGGCGGCAATCGCCGGGAGCCACCACAGCAAAACAAAAAATAACATCGTATCATTTGTTGTATAGAAAAATAAAAAATAAAAAAACCCTAGCAAAACAACCACAGCGGAAGGAAAAAAAGCACTATAGGTTAGAGGGTGGAAAATCATTCCCAAAAAACACACCTATCGAAAATCGGAAATGTAAATTAAAACTGAAAGGCATACAAAGGAGACCGGGGCATACCCCGGTGTGTACAAGGGAGGCCCACCCTAGCCTCAAGGGCAAATTATGCCCTGGACCCGTGTCCACAATGGACACGGACTCAAAACGATGTCGTTTTTTTTAAAAAAATGCGTCCTTTAGTTAAAAAAAAAAAAAAATTCGCGCGCGTTTTGCTGTTAACGGCGTTATTTTTTTTTTTTTTTTTATTATGAATGTACAGTTATGCCGTTATGAATGTACAGTTATGCAATTATGAAATTATGAACACAGAGCTCTAACATTATGAACTTACAATTATGAACATATATAGTGATAAAATTATGACCATGGAGCTTTAAAATTGTGAATATAGAGCTTCGAAGATTATGAATGTACAGTTATGGAGTTATGAATGTACAGTTATGGAATTATGAATGTACAGTTATGGAGTTATGAATGTACAGTTATAGAGTTATGAACGTACAATTATGGAGTTATGAATGTACAGTTATTAATATATAGTAATAAAACATATACTCCTATAACGAAGCGGTCTGAAATTAAAATAAAAAAAAATAAAAAAAAAAAGAAGAAGATTAGGCACTGTTACCCGTGTCCAGCAAGCATGCTGGACACGAGTCCAACGCATAACGATTTGGGCCGGCCATGAGACTTAAATAAACAAGTTATATTTTATTTAAGTCACAGGCCGCCCCCAGATTCACGTTACAATAGAAGCAAACTACAAGATTTAATGTCAACAATTACAATAGCACAAGCCCACAGGCCCATTCCAAAGCAACAAAAGTCCACATCTGGTGTAAGAGTTGAACCCTGGCCAAATCATTATTTCACACGCCCATACCACTTCACCGGTCTCCGCTTTCCGATTTCGCTTTCCGCTTTCCGATTTCTATTCCATTTCCGATTTTGAGGTTTGCTTTCCGATCTCGTATCATTTTATTTGTCTTCTAACTTTTTCTCCAGTAGTTCTCTTTTTTTATCCTTCATTTTATTAGTGGACAGTGTTGTTGGATGATAAAACATGCCTAACTAAAATTTTGTTGATGATCAATATGCAAAAGAACTTCCATCAGTACAATTGAAAAGTTATCCTTCATTTTATTAGTGGACAGTGTTGTTGGATGATCTAAGATTTGTTAAAATGTCTTCCAAATGCTAGATAGCAAGAAATTTACCTTCAATCTCAAAACACAAAATCCTGAAGGTTAGTTGTATTCAAATTTATTGCAGATGGATGACTTACATGAACTAAATCTACCACAAGCTAGAGTATCTGAGACCAACCGAGGAAAACCAACATGTAATGCAATCTGGAAACCCTAGCAATAATACCAGTAACAAGAAACTAAAACAATGCCTTGACAAAATTGAAGATAAAGAGGGCAGTCAGGCAGCTCGGTATGAATGCTGTGGCAGAGAGATGGCTGTAGGTTCTAAGTGTCTTGTGTGTGAGAGTGCTTATGAGGGAATATGGGGATGAAGATGATGATTTGGGGAGTGATGATCACTATTCCTCAACTGGCAAGTATGATAATGGTACAGTTTGGAAAGCTATTGCCGAGATGATTATTATTGATGGACTACCTTTTAGTTTTGTTGACGGAATAAGATTCAAAGAGTTTTGTGCTGTCGCCTTTCCCCCTGAATTTGAGCATCCATCTAAATAGGCAATAGAGATATATATAGATCTGAGAGCTAAGCTGAATAATCTTTTCAAAAATGAAAAGCCAAGAGTGCCACAAAACAGCCATTAAAACATGCCTCATGACAACCTAACATTGTTAATCAATTGGCAATTAATCAATTGAAGTAAATCAATTGGCAGTTAATCAATTGAATTGAAGTAAATCAATTGGCAGTTAATCAGATGAGATCATCTGGTTAATCAATTGGCGTGACCAGATGATAAGCAATCAATCACATAAAAATATAAAGCAACGAAAATGATAAATTTCAAAATATTTACGAAATATGTTAATATTTCATACAGTTGCATCAACCAGAAAAGTAAGAGACAAAAACAAGTAAAGGATAGAGGAGACTACCCATTAATACATCTACATGGATGCCTTTTCCACCGCCGCAACAAGACACCAACGCCGGAGGCAACACCACACCGCCTAGAGAGAAGTGGTTCGGGCGCAGCAACACCACATACCGCCAGATCTACCAGATGTGAAACGGTTCAGGACATCCAGATCTAGAGACTTTAGGAAAGACATCATCTGGTTACAAGACACAAGTACAGCGAACGTGGGTTATTAAAAGGATAGGTTAGGTTACATCCAGCTCAGCAACGGGCAATTGGGCCTATCCTATGCTAATTGTGGCTAAATTGGGCCCAATTGCTTTAACAAAAAAAATAAATTGAATATCTAATCTATCTAATATATATATATATATATATATATATATATATATATATATATATATTGCGTTGAACCGAGAAGCACAACCGGATTTGGTCGAATTTTCACTTTCAAATCGATATATAAAACCGAATTAATTTCACTTTTAGTTCCACGACTTTTTGATGTTCTATCACTTTTGGTGCACAATTTTAAATTTTTTAATTTTGGTGCCTAATTTTGTTATTTTATCAGTTTTGGTCCTTTCGGCCAAATTGACAGCGAAATGTTGCTTGATTTGATATTGTTAGGGGTAAAATCATCATCCCAAGGAAACATCTTCAATATCTAAACAAAATCACTGTAAAATCATATCGGTAGGTGTTTGATGATGGAAGACGGGCAGAAACCATACAGATCTATGGGATTTATAGTTTCGATTATTGGCAAACTCTTTTTTTCCTCTTAATATGATTTTTCTTTTGTTTAAATATTGAAGATCTTTCCATGGTATGACATTTTGCCCCTAAAATATAAAATTCGGAAATATTTTACCGTCAATTTAGCTGGATGGACCAAAACTGATAAAAATAACAAAGTTATGCACTAAAATTTAAAAAATTTAAAGTTATGCACCAAAAGTGATAAGAACTCAAAAGTCGTGGATCAAAAGTGAAATTAATTCTATAAAACCTCTGTCAAAATGTATTTCGAACTCAATGAGGGCAAATTATGCTGTGCATCCGTATGCACCAAGCATGGTGCATACGGATGCAAAAACGACGTCGTTTTTATAAAACGCGCGTCTCCCCTTAAAAAAAAAAATTAGGTTCGAAACTATAATTCCATAATCGATGAACTATAATTCCATAAATCGATGAACTATAATTCCATAATCTAATCTATGAACTAAAATTTTCAGAATGAATGAACTAAAATTTCAGAATCGATGAACTATAATTCCAGAATCGATGAACTATAATTCCAGAATCGATGAACTATAGTTCCATAATCGATGAACTATAATTCCATAATCCATGAACTAAAATTCCATAATGAATGAACAAAAAAATGTTATTACTAGGAATCGAACCTGAATTTTTTTTTTTTAAAGGGGAGACACGCGTTTTTAATAAAACGACGTCGTTTTTGCATCTATATGCACCATGCATGGTGCATACAGATGCACAGCATAAATATTCCTCAATGAGAGTATAAAACCTCTGTCAAAATGTATTTCGAACTCAATGAGAGTGTGAAAATGGATGTAGCTTGGATACTCGGCTTATTTATTGGTGCCTTCGTTTGTTAGGGACAAACTTGGATAGAAACAGTACATCATGTCTAATTTGTAATTGGTTAATGAAAAATTCATATAATTTGTGATTTAGTTGAAACAAGTAATTGTCCCGTGCGACGCATGGTATAAAATTATACTCAAAATTATCAATTATTATTATTTGTTATTTTTTTTAATCCAAATGAAGTGTGTTACCCATATATTTATGAAGAAGTAAAAGTACAAGAGTTTATTTACATTGCGAAATGTCGCCAAAGGAAAAAGGAGCTGCAATCATATTCTAAGTAAGGAACGATTTCTGTTGGAGGATTAGGTAGTATATGGATGCCACGAGGACGAGAGACTGCTAATTTCGCTAGAGCATCCGCCGTGGCATTTTGTTTACGAGGTATCCAAGCAATTCTCCAATCTCTTATACCCTGCAATTCGCGTCTGCAGGTGGCCAGAAGGTTGTGTACCAGGGAGTTTGGTAGAGAGTCGGAAGTGATACCATCAACAATGGCCTTGGAGTCACATTCTTCCAGATCTTGCCTTGCTACATGCCCCTTTTACCACGTGGCTTGATCAAGGCCTCTCAGACAAAAATAGTGGCAGACTCCCCTCTAACTCGGCCAATCTCTTTGCAATCTCTGTCTGGTGGAACAATTATTATTTGTTATTTAGTAATACTAGTTACTAATAAAAAGTAAAAGCATTACTCTATTGGTCAACAACAAATTTTGAAAACTATAAAATGAAATATTTGAAATGTATTTATAATATACTTGCAATTATTCAAATTGCTAAGATATACAATTTTAATATGAAAAATTGCATCTTTGGTTCCAGGGTTATAACCAAGTTCCTACTCAGTTCCTAAGTTATGACTGTTTCCTAGTTTAGTCTCTCAGTTATGAACAAAGTTGCGAGTTTGGTCCCTAGCCTTAATATTCTGTCTACAGCTAACGGAAAACTTAAAAACAATTTAATAATAGAGAGATAAAATAAAAATTTCAAATTATAATCCTCTTTTTATGTTGAAACTCGTTGCGCAACAGTCATTATTTTCTTCTTATACCTACAAATGAAGGTCTTTTTCTTCCCCAAACTCTGAAATCTCCCATTTCCGTTAGATATAAGAATAAAATAATGATGGTTGCGCAATGGGTTTCAACATAAGAAGGGGATTATAATTTGAAATTCCTATTTTAACCCTATATTATTAAATTGTTTTTAAGTTTTCCGTTAGTTGCAGACAGAATATTAATGCTAGGGACCAAACTCGCCACTTTGCTTATAATTGAGGGACTAAACTCGGATACTGTCATAACTTAGGGACTGAGTCGGAACTTAGTTATAACTCAGGAACTAAAGATGCAATTTTCACATTATAATATTCATAGTTCTATATATTACAAATTATTAAATATTTGAAATGTACTTATAATATATAGATACAATTATTAAAATTGATAAGATATAGAATTTTAATATTCATAGTTCAATCTATTACAAATTATTAGATGTAAAATAATAATCTTTAACTTTTTTTTAAAAAAATATTATATGTTTTTAGAAATAAGTAACCATACATGTTTTCAAACTGTCTCCACCAAGACTCAATCTCATGACCTTCTATATAGGAGAGGCCACTATATGCAATCTGAGCACAAAGTGTTTGACACCCCATACATAATCTAAAAACATAATAAGTGTGAATGAAAGTTATACCCCTGATTTATGTCCGTTTTTTCCGTTAAGTTTTATTTTTTATTTTTATACATTATGCTATAAAGGTAGTACATTAAAATATTTTGGACAAACATACCCTTACCGTTATAACTTCCGTTATCTTTTCCACTATTGTTACCATGCACATGCATCCACCATATATTTTCTTATCTTCTTCATTAATAATAATATATACACATTAAATATTTGAGTTATATGTTAATTATTACATAAATATAATTATCAAATTTATAGAAATGATTTACATTATTATTATTATTATTATTATTATTATTATTATTATTATTATTATTATTATTATTATTATTATTATTATTATTATTTAGAATAATTTAAATATCTAAAATCTAAATAAATTTAAAATTTTAATATAATGTATTAATATTGGGCACCATATTTTGCGCATCGCGCATAAAAAATACTAGTATTTAAATACAACTCATTGCAATAACATGCTACAAACTCTGACACAAACCCGACCTAATCCAACCCAACTAATTCAAACCCAACAACCCATCCTATAAATGTTACAATTCACATGTTTTAAACCCTAAATACCCGGGTTGGACTTCCATTTGGAAGGTTGTAAGTTCGAGCCTCAGTGGAGGCGTTATTAGCTCTTTGTGTTTCAGTAGGTTGAGAAAGTATATGAACAGATACTACAATGTAATAGAGCTAGTAGCATTCAAAAAAAAAAAAACCCTAAATACCCTTTTTTATTATTCCATACATCTACCTCCCACTCTCATTCGATCCTCCTCCAGAGAAAATCTAAGAAAGAATCATACTTGAATTGTCTTTAATTTCTTTATTTCGTAGATACCTCAACCTCATTGAGGCTTTCTTCATTGCAAAAATATAAATGACAATGAGTTCTTAAAATTTGATAATTACAAAGAATATATATAATAAAATATATTAAACTTAAATTAGTACAAAAAAAATTAATTACACATTAAAAATATATATAAATTGGGCCATATGATATATAATGACTTAATCGTCCAAAATTTAAAAAGACGATCACAACTAAATAAAACATGGTCCAACAATAATAATCCCACTTATTTCTTGCCGTGTTGTTGGTCTGGACGCAAATCATGCCCTGGACCCGTGTCCACAATGCATTGTGGACACGAGTCCAAAACGACGTCGTTTTCAGGGAAAACGCGTCATTCCAGTTAAAATTTTTTTTTTTTTTATTTTGTCTCGTCTTTAACGGCGTTATTCGTTTGTGGGATTATGAATGTACAGCCATGACGTTATGAATGTACAGTTATGTAATTATGAATGTACAATTATGGAATTATGGAATTATGAACACAGAGCTCTAACATTATGAACTTACAATTATGAACATATAGTGATAAAATTATGAACATAGAGCTCTAAAATTGTCAACATTCTTCTATCGTTCTATATACTAGTACTTGTACCCGTGCGGTGCACGGCCATAAATAATAATAATTTTTTTTGAAGGTAAATAATAATAATATAATTAAACAATATAACATAATAATAAAAAAAATGAAGAAAATTTATATAGAGTAAATTATTTAATAACAATTAACATTGAAAGTGCATTACACATTATTAAAAAAAAATTGTATACAACATTTTTTGTCGTAGTTATAGATTGTCCATTATCCATACCAATTAAAATTTTTAATCTCCTTAGATTACTTACTCTTCAAAGTGCTACGTACATTTAACCATGATTAATGACAGACTTTCTCAAAGCAAACTCACGTGCGAGATAGAAAAATATTTCTCATATCCTTCTACGAAGTGTCTTCGAGATTTAATCGGCGCGCAATCGTGTTTAAGCTGATGTTGAGTATTGATCAGCACAGTAATTTGTATATTTGCTGCAATAGTACTAATTATGATTAGGGCTTAAAATAAAATGTGCAACAGATAATTTATTTATTATATAAAAATTATATCTTTATTAGCTTCATCAAATTATTATTTAGCTATATAATATATAAAATAATGTATTATTTTAATAAAATAATAATAACATATTAATATATACATCCTGATTATATAATGTTAAATATACTTATTCAATTACTTGTCATAATATAATTGCGGGATGTAATTAGGCCCAATGATTAAAGAATTGTTTATTTCATTTATTTAAGGCCCAATATTAGGTTACCCTTCATCTAGCCGACCCCGGCCCATATCTGCGCATTTGATATAGACCGAGCATCAAATTACCCGGCCTTTGCTTTCATCTAGCCGACGCTTCATCTTCTCTCTAGACATCGATGTGCAGTTTGCTTTCTCTATTTTGTCCGAAGAACTTTGATTCCACGATCAATTCTTCGATCTATGTTGATGTAGTCTGTCTGAAGACCTTGCTACTACCCAAATTTCTTCAAACTATGCTCCACTCTTTCCGCAAAGCTTTACTTCTACCCTAATTTCTTCGAACTATGCTCCACTCTTTCCGCAAAGCTTACTTCTGCCCTAAAATTAGATGTATAATATAATATTAATAACTAATGTTTCAAATATTTGTAACTGAAATAAAAATTCTCATGTAATTTGACCATTACAAATAACTAACCATTAAATATATCGCTTGTTGTAGTGGATAAAAAGGGAATTCGTCGTCCTAACACAAAATATTGTGCAAGTTATTTTGTGAAAGTTAATTTTTAATATACCAAGAGTACTTAAATTTAATGTGTAGGCGAAAATTGTTGCTTTATTATAATAAAAGATAATAATAATAATAGAAATTAATAAGTACATTTATAAATAAATTATATATATATATATATATATATATATATATATATATATATATATATATATATATTTATTTATTTATTCATTTATTTATTTGTTTAATATAAGGACCATGGCCAAGCCCAAAAGAATGACCCAACAGTATATTTATATGTAATATATAATATCTAATCTGGTAATATATGACCCAAGCCCATTATCATGGCAAATTATTGCATGGACCATGGTCCATACAACTTGTGTGGACCAAGCATCAAAACGACGTAGTTATGTCTTAATAAAAAAAATTTGTTGCTTGCTTGTTAACGGCGTTAGATTAGCCGTTCCTTCATTCTTTGTTTCTTCTTTCCTTCTGCGTTTCTTCTTTCTTTCTGCGACTCAGCCATTCGCGATTTGCTCTGCGATTTCTCCACGGTTTTCATTGTTTCTCTCCTCAATTTGATACGGACTACGCAATTTGTTTCTTCATCCGATTTGGTAATGCTATTGAATACTCATCTCGGATCATGGATAGTATTGGTGATACGAACAACATAGTAGATGCGATTGATTTGGAGGATAATATTGCAGGTTTTTACACCATTTTTTATGCAATTTATGCTTCGGTTTTTATTTTTCTTTTTATTCATTGTGTATATTTTTTATGTATCATAGGTGATTTGAATGCTTTGTTGATGTTGATTCAATTTATCCAATTGGTGTTGATCTTAGTCATACAAATCCAGGTTTGTGATTCGTGTATTGAGTGAATGTGGTGTGATTAGGGTTTGTTTAGTCGTTTACATACTGTACATTATATGTGTTCATAATGTAAATTATTTTAATTTATAATGTACATTATTTCCATGCATAATTTCCATTACTTTTCAGTTGATGTCACATGATTCATAGAATTTGGAACCGCAGTTTGCTTGAAATAGATAGTGTCAAATGAATTTTGTTGGAACTTGGTTTGATATGGTGTTCATTAGTAATGTATAAGATAAAATAAATTCAAAAGCCAGTAATTTGCAGGTTTTGCATTTCTTATTGATTGTTTATGTGCATTCTGTCTATTACTAGACTGAGCAATTAGTGTTTGACAGGTGATCTAGTATTTTGAATGCGACATTGAATTTGATTATGTCTCTAAATGAGAACAAGAAGATTTAAAAAAAAAAAAACACAAAGAAAAAAAGAGGAAAGTAATGTTCTGAATCTGATTCCATGCTCACACTAAAAGAGACAAGTCATCTGAAAATGTACATTATTTTTGTTCTTAGTGTACATTATTTTGTTTTCCTAGTGTACATTATTTTACAGTGCTTGTGTTTAAATGCACCAGAATGAAATTTTCATTCAATCTGAAAATGTACTTTATTTTTGTCCTTAATGTACATTATTTTTGCCCCTAGTATACATTATTTTATAGTGTTGGTGTTTAAGTGCAACAGAATTAAAATTTCATTCAATTTGAAAATGTACATTATTTTTGCCTCTAGTGTACATTATTTTTGCCCCTAGTGTACATTATTTTTGCCCCTTGTGTACATTATTTTTGCCCCTAGTGTACATTATTTTAAACTATTGGTGTTTATGTGCATCCGAATGAAAAATTTCATTTATGTAGTGCATTCTGGTCATTTTGTTATAGTTGTATTTCCATTTGGTTATAGTTGTTGTGTTTTTTGTAATTTTCAGTTAAGAGATAATGTTGAGCAGTGTGGACGAGTTGAAATATCATGTTTGGCGCTCGGATATTGACATTATTCGGCATGAGGTTTGCTTTAACCTCAAGGATATGAACATTTGCTATAGTTGTAAGTTTTTTCTGAGATGGGAATCTTATGCTCACATTGTCTACGTATTCTCAACATTAACTGTGTTGGAACAATACCTAACCAATATATATGTTGAAGGTGGACAAAAAGAGCTGTTGAAGATAGGATAATGGATATTTCATCCGGTTCAAATATGTGTATGGTTGCATCTTCAGTTTGGGTTATACAAATGTGTAGGAAGTTCCAAAGATTAGTTATTTCAAGTCAAGATAACTGCAAAGCTTGTCAAGTTTGTGAGGCAGGTTTTGATGATTTTAGAAGAAATATTGAAGCTGAGGTTGGTCCTATTAGTTTAGAAGACTTCGAAACACAAAGGCTGCAGTCCAATCTCCAGTTCAACAAGTTGTTTAAGAGATTATCGGGAGTGGATATCTTGTTCATTCAAGTGGTAGTAGTAGTTCAAAGTTAGTTTGTGTTAGGTCTGGATCTCAAAATATTTCAAATGATAATTGACTATAGTTGTAATAGAATTTTGCAGGATATAGACTTGATTTAGAATTCCATGTTTGATATTTTGGAGTGATTCACTTTATTCTTAAATATTATGATCTTTATGTTTAAAATTGGTTGTTGAGTTGATTATTGAGTTTGAATACAACCAGTTGGTGCAATTTAGTAGTCCACTGAAAGGCCTATGCCATCATTCAATTCTTTGCCATAATTTGCTGAAAATGTACATTACTTTTCTCATTAGTGTACATTATTTTTTCTCCTAGTGTACATTATTTTACAGTGTTGGTTTTTAAGTGCATCAAAATTAAAATTTCATTCAATATGCAAATGTACATTATTTTTGTCCTTAGCGTACATTATTTTTGCCCCTAGTGTACATTATTTTACACTGTTGGTGTTTAACTTCATTAGAATTAAAATTCATTCAATCTGAAAATGTACATTATTTTTGTCCTTAGTGTACATTATTTTTGCCCATAGTGTACATTATTTTACAGTGTTTGTGTTTAACTTCATTAGAATTAAAATTTCATTCAATCTGAAAATGTACATTATTTTTGTCCTTAGTGTACATTATTTTTGCCCATAGTGTACATTATTTTACAGTGTTTGTGTTTAACTTCATTAGAATTAAAATTTCATTCAATCTGAAAATGTACATTATTTTTGTCCTTAGTGTACATTATTTTTGCCCTTAGTGTACATTATTTTACATTGTTGGTGTTTAACTTCATCAGAATTAAAATTTCATTCAATCTGAAAATGTACATTATTTTTGTCCTTAGTGTACATTATTTTTGCCCCTAGTGTACATTATTTTACAGTGTTGGTGTTTATGTGTATCAGAATAAAAATTTCATTTATGTAGTACATTTTGTTCATATATATACATATAAAAGCTAAATAATGCATTAGGTTTTTGATAACTTTGCATTCCCTTTTAATTTTTGATGATGTGGTTAATTACTTTAGATATTAAATTTTTTATATCTAAATTTTGCAAAATATAATATGATTAATGACATTAAAATATTGCAACTGATAAGCTTTGAATTTAAAGCATAGTAACCTATCAAACTTTGGCAAATTTACATCATTTTGTCACTGCATAATGCACATGTCAACCTTGTTAAAAAAATCAAGGAACCAAAACCAAAAATTAATTTTCCACCCGCTATAGCAACCTACTCAAATCTACTGAACATTCCATGTCATTTTGAAATATATATTTCTCTTGCTTTCTTCAGCACTTCCTCTTTCTCATAATTGATTGGCAGCATTATTGTGCATGATGCATACTTTGCTCTCAAGGATCTTAGAAAAATGGCCTGCACATATATATCAAATCTGTGTATGCACACAATTCTGTATCCCAGCATGACAATTTTTACTGTAGTAGTGATCCAAATCCAATATCTTCTATCGCTTTTCTTTGTTCATCTGTTAGTTTCTCCATCAACCATAGGAATTCGATAGGCGACATTCTAGTGTTAAGGTTGTTTTTCTCGAGATGCTACTGTTGCTCTTGGACTCTTGTGATGTTCGTTCATTATCTATTGCTCTAGCTCTCTTTGATACTTTCTCTTTGGTTGCTTAGTATCTTTGTTTGAAGTCATCTTTTGCTGTGGACTAACAAGTTAAAATACACTACATAAATGAAATTTTCATTTTGATAAAGTTAAACACCAACACTGTAAAATAATGTACACTAGGGGAAAAAATAATGTACACTAAGGATAAAAATAATGTACATTTTCATATTGAATGAAATTTTAATTCTGATGCACTTAAAACCCAACACTGTAAAATAATGTACATTAGGGAAAAAATAATGTACATTAGGAGAAAAAATAATGTACATTTTCATCAAATTATGACAAATAACTAAATGATGGCCTAAGCCTCTAAGTGGACTGCTAAATTGCACCAACTTATTGTATTCAAACTCAATAATCAACTCAGCAACCAATTTTAAACATAAAGATCATAATATTTAAGAATAAAGTGCATACTCCAAAACATCAAACATTATTATATAAACTCAGAATTGATAACACCCAAAAAATGGAAGCTATATATATCAATCAGCAATGACAACTTGGGTGGTTTTCACACATTATTATAACCATGCCTAATGTTCTGATACTTTTTATACATTAGGAAAATTCTAAGCCCCATTAGTTCCCAAGACACCCAATTCTTGATTTTACCATACTTAGAAATAGTAAAGCTTCTCAAATAACACAGAAAAACTTTACAAAATAGAAACTCAATCTTCCCCTCTCTATGCATACTTTTTGCCTATGATGGCTCCAGGCCACATGACACTAATGGTGGACATGGCCAAGCAGTTTTCTAGGCATGGCGTGAAGGCGACTATACTCACATCACACTTATACACAACTCAGATTTCGAAAACCATCAACTGGGATAGAGAACTAGGATTGCCTGAGGGCTATGAGGACTTACCTGTCCAACACCCAATCCTCAATTCCTCACAAATTTTCTTATGATTTTGATATTCTAGAATTGCTACATTACATGTAACATTCAACATAGCAAGCATCTAAATTGAAAATATTGTGCTTTCTAATTTCTGGGTGTTTTGCCTCCTGAAATCACATAAAAATAAACTCAGAAAATTCAACAAAAACCCTAGGTAAAAAATATTGCATGTTCTATGAATTGATTCACCAACAAAAAATCCAAAAAAAAAAAAAAAATGCAGAGAAACCACTATAAGGGTATAAATGCATAAACCCTAGGTAGAATCCAGAAATAATATACATTCTTGTTTGAAGCTCTAATAGGAATAATACCTTACGAATCTTTGTAGCAATGGAGCTTTTCTTCGTTTCAGCAGGGGAGACGATGAAGCGTTGGAGACGACGAAGCTCTGGCGACGAAAATGCCAGAGAAGAACGCGAGAAAGAAGGTGAAGTGCGGGCACTACTCTAGTAATACAATAACAATTAGAAAAAAAATAAATTAAAGATTTAACGGTGCCGTCTCTCCATAAGTGGAGAGAGGCGCTGTTTTAGACCATGGTCCACACAAGTTGTGTGGACCATGGTCCATGCAATAACAATTGTAAAAAAACAGAGACTCCCTTCTACAATCATTTTCCTCTTCCGTACCTCCTCGCCTGTCCAGATTCTCTCCACTCTCTCTTGCCAAAATCAAACACCAAATCCTCCTAGTTCTTGCCATATAGTCCATAATTTTTAACAATTTAGCGATGAATACGCTCCTGGTGACAGATTAAGAAACCCTAATATCTCAATGTCGAAATTAGCAATCTCGCAGTACATCAAAGGTATATCTTCCTTTTTTTTTTTTTTTTTTTTTTTTTTTTTCCGCTTTATATATGTTTATTGTGTGCGATTTAATTTACCATAGGCAGTACGTATAATGCTTTATTTTTAGGGTTAGATAATTGTCCAAAATTCCTTTTGTTTGGTGTTTGAAATTTGGATTTTCTGCTAGATCATTGTAAACTACTAATTTCTTGCTAAAACACTCAGTTTGTATTCATATTTTACTAATTTTATTTAAATTCTATCATTTTTGAATATATTTTTTATCTCATTAGCCACAAACCCTAACCAATTTGTTCGCAGCTTAGGTATAACTACATCTGGATATCAACAAACGAATGTAAGCTTAGAAAGATTCAAAAGAGGAGACCAAGGTCTGCATGCCGGCATGCAAAACAATTTCGAAGGTGAAAAGTAAAATCCAGAGGCATATGAACCTCTGATAAAGATAAGTTTCTTTCTATTTATTTTCTTGTGGACTGTAGATGCAAGAAGATCTTCATGACATCGAAAATAGGAACTGCAGATGTAATGTGTACTATTGGTTAATTCCATTGGAGTTTACCTTTTGATACTTATCAAATAGTAAGCCTGCTGGAACACCTTCCAATTAAGCACACTCCCTATCTCATAGTAGGAAGAGAGATCTCCAGTTTTATCCACCACTCTAACAGTAAGTTTATACCTTATTGCTCATTTCTGCCACTTTTTTCACCCTTACTACAAGCTGATCATTTACAATCCCCATCCTGTAAATGATCAGATTACAGTAATTGTTTATATAAAGTGAACAATGATTCTAATGGTTTGTTAGTCTTCAAAGATTAGTTAAAACTCACCTCTTGATGCATAAACATATCAGAGATGGTACTGACAACAACATCACCACTTCTAAAATCCCCAAGGCCAGTAGACTGTGACAGAACTGTTGTAGTAGTGACCACCAGGACTTGACATAGTACACCTTTTCTTCTTCAAAAATATTGCGATATTTCTTCACTTCTTCCTTTAAAATATTGACATGTATATAGGTTCCCTAAAAATTAGAAAAGTAAGATTATGAAACAGCGAATATTCAAAAATAAAAAACAGAGAATATATAGTATATAGAATTATAGATTATGAAACTGCTCTTCATATGATAAAACAGCAAGTATATTTTGGCCCAAGTGACAATTATGTCTAGGTTTGAACTATTTGTTTCAATGTGACAGATTTATTTTAGCTATCTTGCAGTTTTCTCAAGTTATTTTCAGGTGCAGATTCAAGAACGATGGTGATGCGATGGAAGAACAAAGAAAGATTTAATTAACATGCTGGAAAAACATTGTTAGCTAACTTTAAACATGTTATCTAATATACTTGGGATCATGATTACATTATTAAATGGGGACAAAAGTAGCATACATTGTCATTATCAATGTAAAATAATATCATCTATACTTGCCAGAAGAATTGAAAAGTTAATAGCAAAAAGCAAAGTACATTGCAAAAAGCAAAGTACAGTCTATCAAACAAATTTAGACATACATACACATAATGCTTTGTATTAGAAATATTACCATGCTATACATTGCATCAAATGTATGTGTATATATACTCTAACTATACATGAAAAATAATTGTAGACACAAAATCAGTAAGTGTAGAATACCCTATCTCACTGGATGACGAAGATAACTGCATCAATAGTCATCTGGGTGGGGAGGAAGAATAGAACAGCTCACCAAGGTAATACTGAGAATCCTCTCTTGCTTTTTGATGCTTTTTTTACTCCAGAACCTGTCTACAACCTGTTTCTGCAGAAATAGATATCATCTTTTAGGTTCAATGAAGGTTCAAAAAATTAGATATGTACGAAAAAAATAATTTATTAACAGATTGTAAATATCATAGATCGAAAAATGGAAATACTTATCTGTTACTCGAAACTTCAAAATTACAGAAAACCAACAATATCAATATGTAAAATGAATGGTTAGAAAAATTGCTATTTTAGGCCTAAACCAAAGAAGAAACAGTAAACACACAAAAATCATATAGAAAGTACCTATCAGGCTAATAATTTAAGGACCAAAACTTTTTTCTGTTTTAATCGAAAAAAGTAACCCTAGAACATTTTTAGTGGATTTCGTGGAAAAAAAATTACGGGCAAAGCTTAGATCTATGAAAATAATACTAAAAATAATAGAACTAATGTTTATTTTCTAAAAACAAACAAGCTTAATTCGATAAAGTGCTAATTTGAAACAGATATGAGATTCGGAGATGATGAAAACAGTTAGACATAAAAACCCTAAGTTAAAGAAAGAAATTAACAGTATACTTAGTACGTTTTCTACCTCAAATTTGATAAATTCATAGCTAACATTCTTGGTTGTAAGAGTGAGACTGTGAGAGAGATACCAGCGTTGATGTCCGGAAACGAAGAAGATGGAGATGAACCCCTTACACACGGAGGACAACGGTCTATACCCACGCTTGCTCATCTGTCCGTAGATGATAAGAGAGAGAGATCATTGAAGAACGACGAAAACGAAATGCTGAGATCTGTGGAGATAAGGGTCTTGGCCTTCGTCCTCATCGCTTCATTTCTTTTTTTTTTTTTTTTTTGAGAAGCTTCATTTCTTTTAATATATAAGATCTTAATATATATATATATATATATATATATATATATATATATATATATATATATATATATATATATATATATATATATATAAAAGAAACCCATCTTTAGGTAGGAACCTAGGAATTAATCTTAGCCTTTTATCTTGATCAATGTATATTTTTAGTAGTTTTAATATGTTATTTAGTCCTGGAGGAATTTAATTAAAGGCAATTAAGGGTAGTTTAGGTTTTTCAACAGAAGGTCATGAGGTGTTACTGCGTAATTCTCGACTTATACTCTTCGTCAAACGCTAGTTTCAATTTCATTTGGACTCCTTCGATTGCTCGACTGTTGCACGCCGTTTATCGCAATTCCCTCTCTCGTTTTGGTGCTTCTGTTCTCAGGTAGATGGCCGGAATTGATGGTCGGAATCCAAAGCGTCCCTGCACGGAAGCAAGAGTGTCCGTTCGATTTTTTTTTTTTTTCCTGATGCGTTAAACAGGGTGCATTATTTGCCGCTGTGTTTTATTTATTTATTTATTTTGGTATTCGTTTATTCTGGGGTGTGGGTGTGTAGGTCTGTAGGGTTTGGGGATGTGTTCATCGACGGTGGCTATGGCAGTTAAGTTGGCCGCTTGGTCAGCAGTATCTAGGTATAAATGGTATCAGATATTTTTTCAGACAGGTCCACTGGCACTCTCCCTCTGAACACGGTGTCAATGGAACAAGGTGATACTATACGATGATCATATATTATCATATTGCAGCGTTATTTATTAAATAATTACATCTTAATTGCGATGGTCTAAGTACATGTATGATCTGGAGGCTCATCTTGTTTTCATTATTGCACTTTCTTTCTCTTGTGGATTGTTTTTGTTTTTGTCCGATTTTGTCCCTTGTTTTTATTAGTGTGTATTTCTGTGTGCACAGCATTTATACTATTAACTTTCATCAACAAATGTTCTTGGTTAGTTCAATGTGTTATTCCCTTATCAAAAAATGCTCAGGGTCAATCACTGCATGGCACACACTCATGACCACAGTTGCACTCGAACTTGTTTTCCAGTTTTATTTTTTATTTTTTATTTTTTATTTTTTATTTTTTGTTTTGTAATTAAGCCTGCACGTTTCGGCACACACATGTTATCCTATGTACACGGACTAATTATCACACCAACCTGGTTTGCGTGTCTTCCTTCCGTTAGTATTGTTGCACATTATGGCATACAAAGTCCTTCTTATGTGCACACGCTATTGTTTTCCAACTTTTCATCCATCCTTTATTTTCCTAATGTTTGATTTTGTTATATATTCAATTTCTAATGTTTTCTTTCGTTTTACGCCCTTCGCCAGAAATATTGTTGTTTGTGTTCCTTGATGATGAGGTTGATGATTGGTATGAGGCGGTCGTAGAGAAAATTATCACTAGAAGGATGCAGATGTGTTGGCGCGATGCACGTAACAAGGTGGATTATGGTGTCTTTGTGATGCGGCACATGGAGACCTTCTTGGGGCAATCAGTGAATCAATGGGATTGTGTGTTGCAAAATGGTGATATACCAGGGGTCTTGATTTGTTGATTTGTTGAGGATGACTTATATGCGTCAGATTTTGGCCATTGAGTTTAACGTACACCATTCCAAGAACATCTATAGCGCAGTTGAATACCATGACACGGAATAACAATGCTTGTGCTCATTTGAACTAGTAGATTAGCGCTTTTGTTTAGTTCATTTAGGTACATTTAAGTATTTTGTTTATAATGTTTGAGATTTAATCCAATGGAGTTTTATGTTTTATCTCTTTTTTTTTTTTTTTTTTTTTTTTTTTTTTTTTGGGTGCAAGCCTGATGCTTTGCAGTGATGCTGCACACATCGTTTAACATGTTTAGGGGGGAATTGGTGCAGGCACATTCGTGTACGTGTGCATATATGCACATATTCTTTAACTCAAGTGCACACGGTAATTCATGCATCAATTCTCAAGAGCGCCATGGCATAAACTCGTAAATCCAAGTGCACACAGTTCAAACCCAAGCACAACCCGACTTTTTATATGGCTTCTCTTCGTCATACTCATACTTAACGGTTTCGCACACACAGTTTATCCCAAGTGCACAACATTTTCTTTTAACATAAATTTGGTTTTTGTGTTTTCATTCTTTTGCTATTTCCCCACATTTTCATACAGAAACTAATTTTGCAAATTATGGCACACCTAGTGTAACCAAAGTGCACACAGTCCAACCCAAGTGCACACCCTGATCTATCAACCCACATGCACACAGTCAAACCCAAGTGCACACCAACTTGAGCAACGTCTTTTTAGCCACATACTCATTGTGCACGTTATGACACAGACAATTTAACGCAAGTGCACACCGAAGTGTATAACATCATCCTGGTTTTTTGTGGGTACTAATTTTGCACATTATGACACACACGGGGTAACCTCAGTGCACACCATTGTACAAAACATCATCCTAATTTCTGAGATTTCATTTTGACAGAAGCACTGCACAATAAGGCACACATAGTTTGACCTAGGTGCACAACAACCTGTACTATGTCTTTTTATACGCACATTGTGCAACATTATGGCACACACATTAACCTGTTAAATCAAGTTGTTCTACATTTATTCATACACAATCGGAATAATAAAGAATGTGCAAATAGCTTTAAGGCAACGGTAGTCTAAGGCATCACCGTCCCTTGATCTCTTGAATACTATTTTAACATTGCATCCCACCCTATTTGTGATACGTCACCTTTTAGTTGGGGTGTTGGCCTATTCTGAGAGCACACCTAAACCACTCCCTTTGCTAGTTGGGAATTTGAACCCCGCATGTGAACATAACACATACTTCCATATGATTTCCCCATGGCGGTCCCTTTTTTAAGTCGCACGGCACACATCAAATCTCTTTATGACTGCATACATTGTGTAGAATTAAATTCCTGCTTCCAAACTTGAGAACCGCTACCAAACCACATGTTTCATCTACTCTTCACACTCTTGAGTCCAATACTTCGTTGATCCCGGTAAAATATTCATTATACAACCGGGTGAACTCCCTGATGAGTCGCCATGATCTGTGGAGCAATCAAATAATTATAAAGATATAATTTGTCTTCACTATATGGCACAAACAATTATAGCTATGTTCACGCACTTAGGTGGTCTATGTCCTGTGTGGCACATATATCTGACCATATGTGCACACAGTGCGACCCACCAAGTCAACGCTAAAATGTTTCTCATCTTGTCTTACGTACAGACCATGTTGATGTGCCATGCTAGGGTGTGCATTTGAGTTATACTGTGTGCGCCATACTTTGCACAATTATTTTGAGTAAGACAAGACGGAAAACATTTCAGTGTGCACTTGGGTTGTTTCGTATATGCCACAATGTGCAAAACTACTGACCTAATGACTTTACGGAAAACAGATTGATGTTAAAGACAGTGTTGTGTACTTGGGATATACTATTTATGTCGTAACGTATTAGACAGTTTGCAAAAATGTCAGAATCATAGCATGACGGATGGTAAATGTACAAAGCACCGTTGTTCAACATTCCCTAGCAACACAATACAACAACACTTTTCATTCAATTCTTGGGAAGCACAAAGTAGTATGAATGGAAATTTACCATTGACTGTGAATTGGGATTACGCACAAGTGTATGGAGAAAAAGATTTAAGTTACCTCCATTGACGCCATTGGCCATCCCTCAGCAACACTCGTCGACGACCGGTGGTTTGCGTCTCTCTCCAAAATTAAATGACTGAACATTCGCTAATGCTACCCTGTCGCAGAATGCAGAATCAGAAAGCAAAAGGACTCCTTTCTTAGTTTGTAATCCTAAAATCTTGGTAAGAATTTAAATATAATATTTGATTTTAATTGGTAGATGGATAAAATTACACTAATATCCTTTCTAATTAATTATGATTAAGATGCACATTAAAATGTTTATTTATCTTGACCATCGATTAAGAGAATTTGGATGGATTAGATTAGTTCTTAGCTTCATACCTAAGAAAGGGTTCTTACTTGAAGCCACCCCTATATATATATATATATATATATATATATATATATTCGAATCCGGTGCACCCCTTCTAATAGATGAGACCATGAGGCCTCCTAATATCCATTGATTCAATTTTCATCAATGGTTGAGATTATAAGAGATTAGGGTAGTAATTAATGACATTTTTCAATGTAAAGGATATATTAGTAATTGTAATTCTAATTTATTTATGGACATAATTTTATTGGAATCTGTAGCATTAAATTAGGGAGTTTGTGGATGGAAATTAATACTTTGAATTACTACAAAGGTTGATGAGGTGAACTTGGCGTGAACAAGGCTTGAGGAGAAAACGAACGGGTAAGTGCATTTACGTGTCATCGTCTGTGCATACACTGAATAATTGGGTTTTTTCCGCTGGGATGGTGGGAGGGGGGTGGGGGTTGGTGGACAAACTAGAATATCTATTATGTGCGTAGCGTGTGCGTGTTCAGTTGGTGAACAAACTATTTTTTTTCTTCTTTTTTTAGGCCGGTGCACCACTGTTTTCGTGTTGATGTGTTTTTTGGGGGTTGCCTTGTTTGGTGTGGTTGTTTGTGCGTAGCAGTGTCTTACCGTGTGCAAGATAAGATGTGGTTTAGTTGCTAATTGGCAATATTATTTATATTTTCATGTCTTTCTCATTTAGTTTATTTGCGTTTCTTTTGTTAGGTTGATGCGTGTGTGTTGTTTGGTTGGTGCGTGAACCAAGCGATTCTTGAGCAAGAAGGTTTAATTAAAATTAGATGCATGACCTAAAAATTGATTGAGAACTGGATCCGTGTGTAAATTAATTTAGTTCTAGATATAGACATTTGCTTTGGAACTTTGTGCATTTTTGGCAATGGAACTTTGCATCATGTGGTCCGTGTCTTTTTTTTTTTTTTTTAGTTTTGTTATTTACACTGGTGTGTGCAT